TCTCAGGTATCTCGCTCGTCTTCACGGCGCTCTGTGTGCTGGAATAAACCTGCAGGTTAAGCAGATGTGAGTTAGTCACGCCTCTTAGTGAATGCCAATGATATGACTCAGGCCGAGCAGGTCCCTTCATCAGTCTCAGGTAAGAAGAAGGATCAATTTCAAGATCCTGCTCCTTCCTTTCAAAGCGCTTCATAACCGCGCTCCTCCATATTTATGTGATCTTCTCTGTACGTACTCGGCTCTCCTTCAGCTTCCTTTCTGTCTGCTCACCTGACTTCCATGGGACTCAGAGCCTTCAGTCATTTTGCCCGACAATTTGGATGCACCTCCACCAGATCTACAAACTCTCACCACTTTTATTATTTTTTATTAAGAGTTTTTTCTTTTTAATACATATAAACAAAAAGAGAAGAAAAGGATTACAGACGTTCTGTACATTCGGGGTAATTAGCCACTTAAGGCTGTGAAATATAGAAGAAAGAAAGAAATATAAACATAAGCATAATATTTCCCCAGATAATAGAATCCCTGTAAAATGCTCCCACCCAGGTCACTGCCCTAGACCTGTACACTGTATTTCCACACCTGACATGAGGTATCCTGCACAGACAAAGGTGCATTCACAAAAGTGAGTGCTTTGGGCAGATTTTAGGGTATAGTTGGCTCAGAGTGTACAGGTCGTGACCCCAGGTTAGTCTGCCCTCACTGAGCTTTGATTGCACTGTGTTGAGGAGTGTCCATGTTTAAATTTAAACGGTCAGGAAGGGAGCAGTAGCAGATTTGACCCTGCTGCCACCACCTGGGAGCTTCAGGTTCCTGATAAGGACCTCAGCCATGAGATCAGGTCAGCTTCACCCCAGTTTCAGATGTTGTGCAGCTCTTTAGATGTCCTTCCTGAGTGTACCCAGATGTTTGCACCTTGCTGTAAACTCCGTATCTCCATCTATGATGCCATCTCTCAGCCGTAGAGCTGCGATCGTCCTCCACGCCGTTTCTGACTTTTATTTTTAGAACATTTTCTTTAGTAATTTTTGTGGTGATAAACAACCAAACAAACAGGCAACATATTAACATTCTCTGACATAAGACCATTTAAGAAAAAGAAAGAAAGAAAAACATGTCATAGGCGAGATTTATAGAGATTTACAATGTTCCAGAGTTCTTGTTCATTCACCCAAGTATCTGGCCTCTAGTGATGGGATTTCCGGCTCTTTTTAGAGAACTGGCTCCTTCGGCTCGGCTCACTATACATATATATATATATATATACATAAATTCATTCAAATAATTAAAAAAATTAATTTACCTGTTACTACCACATACCCAATCCGATTGTTGGTACTTGCTGGCTTGTGTAGCCACTAGGTAACAAAAGCTCAACACGGCCCCTAGCATCCTGGAGCACTTCCGTTGTGTTTTGGAGTTTGTACGTGCTTTGTCTCTAGAGGCCACTGTAAATATACTTTTATTTATTCACTCCACATAAAATGTAATAAATAAATTATAAAATACAAAAACCAACTATTTACATTTCATACATTTCAACTTTTAACTACTTAAATTTTCGGCTTTTTCCTTTTAAACAAATTTAAAGTGAAACAACACAAAACACTGCAAACCACAACACAATAAAATATGGAGAGAAAAAAAAGGGGGGGTGGGGGGAGAACGCCCAGATCTTTAATTAAGGGAAAGGTTGTCATTTAGAAATATTAATATCACACTCAACTGACTGCGTTTTATCTTCCCATTGCACTGATGGGTGGACAGTTGTTAGGTGCCTGTGCATGTTGTTTGTGGAGCCGGCTCTATATGATATCCTTTTCTTGCAGACTCTAAAACTCTGCCTTTGTTTTGTCATAAGATTGAAATGGTTCCAGACTTTGCTTCTTTTCTTGGTGTCACTCATTTTCTTTACTGCACCTTTCCAATGTAAGGGTGTTGTCTCTTGTTGTTGCTCCCGGCTCTCTTTCTTTCCCTCTCCCTCCTGCTCTTGTTGTGTGCTACTGCTGTTGCGAGTGTAACTACCGCCCCGCCCCCTCAGCTCATCGCTGAGCAGAGGGGGGAGGGCTCTGTTTGCCGTCTCTGCTCAGCGCAAACACAAGGGACTTGCAGCGTGAAGCGAAAAAAAGTGAAAGAGAGGGCAAGAGAAAGGAAAAAAAAAACCCAAAAAACCCACGGAGCCGGCTCGCATCGTTCACTTCAAAGACCTGGCTCTAAGAGCCATTTCGTTCGTGACCAACCCATCACTACTAGCCACACAGTTCCATCTCTGGTAGATCCTCATCTCCAGTTTCAAGCTTGCTGTCATTCGTTCCATTGTGGGAACTCTTTTCAGTCTGTTTCCATTGTGTTGTGGATGGTGAGCTTGTTTGTTTCCATTTCACAGTTATCATTTTCTTAGCTATTAGTAAGAGTATCCGCAGAATATATTTTTCATCTCTCTAGGTTTAACTCCCAAGAGAAATATGGTTGGGTTTAGTGGAATATTTACTTGTAGGATTTTCTCTATTTCTTCTTTGATTCTTATCCAGAAACCTCGAATTATTGGACAGTCCCAAAAGATATGTGAATGCTCTCCTATTCCCCCACATTTTCTCCAACATAGTTCTGCATTGGGTTCCTTACAATATGAGGAGATAACAAGAGGTGTATTAAAAAATCTCATTTTAAACTTCCAGTCAAACTCTCCATAATTGATTACTTATTCCCTTGTGACAAGGTTTACACAGCTCTTCCCATACATTATCAGTAATAATAATATTTAGTTCTAGTTCCCATTTCTCTTTAATATGGCCTGTATTTTGGCATCACTCATTTATAAGCCTTTTGTAAATATGAGAGACATCTTTCTTAGTTGGGAGATGTTTTTCTATAATGTTAATAAAGTATTCTTCTATGCTGTTGGGAAATTTATTGATCAGGTCTGTTTCTTTGTGGTTTAGGATATAATGTCTTATCTGAAGGTATCTATATAAACCTTTAGGAGGAAGTTGGAATGGTTCTTGGAGCTGGCTAAATGATTTGAGCTCTGTTCCATTAAATAACTGATTTATTGTGTAAAGGCTGCATTGGTCCGTCTACTAAAGCCACTGTCCCACACAGAAGGCAGGAATTCTATATTGCCCCTCACTGGCCCCCCAAAGTTTTCCTTATCGCTGGCCACACCTTCAGGGTATGTTTTATCCAATCATTCTCTATTTTTAGGTATTTGATCAATTTTGCGTCAATGAAAGGCAATGTTAATAAGGGTACATTCTTACCGTGCTTTGTTCTATCTGAACCCGTCCAGTTTCCTGGTCCTTTCTTTTCCATGCCACCTCTGCGTTTAGCTGTGCAGCCCAGGAACAGTATTTAAAATTTGGCAGTCCCAGTCCCTCCTTTTCTTTTGAGGTCAGCAAAGTTTTAAGTCGTATTCTGGGTCTCTTTTTTTTGCCAAATGAATGTGGAAATTTGTTTATTTAACATACTGAAAGTAGAGTAGTAAACTCTTACCGGCAATGATTGAAATAAAAACAAAAGCCAGAGTAAGAGTAAGAGAGTCATCCTCACCACTTCAGCCCCTCCAAATAAAGAGAGGGGTAGAATGTCCCATCGTGATATATCTTTCTTTATTTGTCCAATGACTTTGTTATAATTAGTTTCATATAGTTGCTTAGGTTTTGCTGTAAGTGTAATTCTCAGGTATCTGAATCCCTGTCTAGGCCAGCGAAAGGAAACCCTTTCATTTTAATTGCATAGGACATTCTCCAGATATCATCATTGCCTCTGATTTATTTTCATTAATCTTATATCCTGAGATTGACCCATACCTGTGTAGGCACTCCATAAGTGCTGGGATGAAAAGAAGTGGATTTTTAATAAAAAGTAAAGTATCATCAGCAAAAAGAGCTATCCTATTCCTCCTTCATCCTCCGTTCCTTGGATTTGCGTATTACAACGTATGGCCTCGCAAAGAGGATGGGTGACAGTGAGTCCCCCTGTCTCACACCCCTTTCTATCTTGAATAGATCAGAACAGCATCCGTTAACCCTGACCTTTGACCTAGGCTCTTTATATAGAGAGTTGATCCATGTAACAAATGTTCCTCCAAATCCCATCGTTAACAATGTTTGTTGAAGGAATATCCAGCCCACTCGATCGAACGCCTTTTCTGCATCCAGACTAAGGAACATTGATGGCATTTCATCTCTTTTTGCTATTGACTGTAGATTTAGGGCCTTCCTCTAATGAATCCTGTCTGTTCACGTTTCACTAATTTCTTTATATAATTTTGGATTCTAGTGGCTAGTATGGATGTTAAAATTTTGTAGTCTACACACAGGAGACTTATTGGTCGATAACTTGTACAATTTATGGGGTCTTTTCCTTCTTTATGTAGAACTGTAATAATAGCTTCTGACCATGACTTTGGAATATCTCCTGAATTTAGAGCATAATTATATACTTTGCAGAGTATGGGGGTAAGTTCGTTCTCAAATATCTTATAATACTCTCCAGCATATCCGTCTGCTCCTGGTGATTTGTTGTTTCTTAATTTGGCTATAGCTTCGTTTCTGACTGTTTTAGAGGCTGTGAAGATGTTTTTCCCACCACGGGAAAGATTCTGTCGTGTTCAGGTCTCAGACCTACTTCAGTGCTTTGAATCAGCTCCAGGTCTGTTACCTGCTTCATCTGTGATGAAGAGCAGACCTCACCTGTTCTGCAGTCAGTTGTGTGACTGTTTATAAAAATCTGTCACAAGCGTCTCATAGAAAACTTTAGAGCCTTGAATTGAAGCTGGAAGTCTTATTATAATTCTAATAACAATACGAATGATGGCTTTTTGCACAGTGCTGCAGCGATGCATGCAGCTCGGACGGCGCTGTGGTTGCCTGGGAAACAGCTGGAAGCTCAGTGTTTCTGGGCTGTTCAGGGTTAATGTGTGTTAGAGGCCCCCACTGCTGCACTCTGACTGGCTCTTTTGTGACAGTCAAGCAGGGAGACTCCGCCTCCTGTGTTTTTACAGCGGGTCTGGTCTGAGGGAGTCCAGACCTGCTGGATCACATCAAACTGGAGCTCAGACATGGGTGAGTCCACTTTTCTCCTTCTCCTAGTATCCCCCCAGGAGGAGCAGGTGTAACCGGTTTCTGCTTCGTCCCGCTGCAACAGTTCGGCCCAAACAGACTCCTTGACTGCGTTGTGTTTTTAAGAAGACAAGGAGTCTCTGATTAGTGATGGGTCGGTCGCGAACGAAATGGCTCTTAGAGCCAGGTCTTTGAAGTGAACGATGCGAGCCGGCTCCGTGGGTTTTTTGGGGGGTTTTTTCTTTCTCTTGCCCTCTCTTTCACTTTTTTTCGCTTCACGCTGCAAGTCCCTTGTGTTTGCGCTGAGCAGAGACGGCAAACAGAGCCCTCCCCCCTCTGCTCAGCGATGAGCTGAGGGGGCGGGGCGGTAGTTACACTCGCAACAGCAGTAGCACACAACAAGAGCAGGAGGGAGAGGGAAAGAAAGAGAGCCGGGAGCAACAACAAGAGACAACACCCTTACATTGGAAAGGTGCAGTAAAGAAAATGAGTGACACCAAGAAAAGAAGCAAAGTCTGGAACCATTTCAATCTTATGACAAAACAAAGGCAGAGTTTTAGAGTCTGCAAGAAAAGGATATCATATAGAGCCGGCTCCACAAACAACATGCACAGGCACCTAACAACTGTCCACCCATCAGTGCAATGGGAAGATAAAACGCAGTCAGTTGAGTGTGATATTAATATTTCTAAATGACAACCTTTCCCTTAATTAAAGATCTGGGCGTTCTCCCCCCACCCCCCCTTTTTTTTCTCTCCATATTTTATTGTGTTGTGGTTTGCAGTGTTTTGTGTTGTTTCACTTTAAATTTGTTTAAAAGGAAAAAGCTGAAAAGCAGCAGCACACTTCTTCAGAGAGTCTCCTGATTATCGAATATTGATTACCAGCAAGAAAACAGCAGCTGCTCCTTTAAACTGCAGGCAGGTGTGTCTGTGCGTGTGTGTTTGTGTGTGCGTGTGTGTGTGCGTGTGTGTGTCTGTGTGTGCGTGTGTGTGTGTGTGTGTGTGTGTGTGTGTGTGTCTGTGTGTGTGTGTGTCTGTGTGTGTCTGTGTGTGTGTGTGTGTGCGTGTGTGAGTGTGTTCACATATAATGTAATCTCTTAGATGGTGTGTGACTATGTGCCACATCACAAATGTGGAAGCTAAATGTTCCGGATCAGTGCATGACTGAAGGATTTTCAGAGTCAGGGTTGTGCACATTATTTGAGCGTGGTAAGAAAAAGAGACTTATTTTGGGCCTAACATAACAGCATTTCTCCATTACACAGGTTATGCATGCAGGCAGTACTTCATGACACCGTTCCCTGACCCCAGGCCTGGGCCACAAACCCGCTACAATGCAGCTCTAGCCAGGACAAGGGCACGCATTGAAATGACCTTTGGTCAAATAGAGGGAAGATTTCAGTGTCTGAAAAGTCTGAGGGTTGCACCTGACGGGGCATGTGACATTACTGTTGCATGTGCCGTACTGCACAACATTGCCACCATCAGAAAGGAGAGGACTCCTGTGGTGGAGGTGC